TTGCCCCCTTCTCTTAAGCTCTTCTACGTGCGTGTTGGTGTTGGTGTGGGGATTAGTGGATGACATCATTATGACCTGACCTCATTTTTAATAAGGTCACCCTGTATATTTAAGCCTCTCTCTGTCCATGTAATCCAGTTGCCTCTGAAGATGTCTTGAATAAAGACGAAAGCTAAGGTGCTCCGTAGTTTCCCTTTTCCCGTGTGATTTTATCAAGAGAGAGAGAGAGAGAGAGAGAGAGAGAGATGAGCAGGATGCAGCATACTTAATATTGGAAGAACAAATACTTATAATGTATACAGCCTTAACAACATCAACCTAGAAAAGTCGACTTGTGAAAGAGACCTAGGGGTACTTGTAAGCCCGGACCTACGGCCTAGAAAACAGTGCGTTAATGTTCGAAATAAGGCAAACAGAGTATTGGGTTTTATATCTAGAAGTGTAAGTAACAAGAGTGCAGAGGTCCTATTGCAACTATATCTTGTGCTAGTCAGGCCGCACCTCGATTATGCGGTTCAGTTCTGGTGCCCCTATTATAGAATGGATTAAAATTCACTAGAGTTGGTGCAGCGAAGAATGACAAAAATGATTCCGGGACTTAGAAACCTTCCATATCAGGATAGGTTAAAGAAACTTAACTTGCATTCCCTAGAAAGACGAAGAGTGCGGGGAGATATGATAGAAGTATTTAAGTGGGTGAAAGGAATCAATAAAGAGGATATAGATAAAGTTCTTATAATATCCAAGCAGGATAGGACTCGGAGCAACGGATTCAAGTTGGATAAGTTTAGGTTTAGGAGGGAGATAGGAAGAAACTGGTTCACAAATAGGGTGGTGGACGAGTGGAACAAACTTAGCAACTTTGTAGTAAGTGCGGGAACTCTGGAAAGTTTCAAAAGGAGGCTAGATAGATTCATGGATGAGAGAGAGTGGTAGTAACTCTCGACAGGAGCTGCCATGCACAGGCCAACCAGCCTATTGCAGACTCCTTGTTTTCTTGTGTTTCTTATTCGTTCGTTCAGAAGCTCTCACTGGGCAGATAGTTTTTGTGTGTGTGTGTGTGTAATGCGTCTAGTGTGCAGCATTATGTTAATGTTAAGGTGCAAGCACTTTTTGTTTCCTCTCGCTTTCAGTTACCACCGCTGGTTAGCCCTTGTGGCAAACAGGGAAGCAACTTGCATAAGTCTTACCCTACCAGTACACAGCCTCTTCACCATCAAGACGCCTGATGTGCCTCCTCATAGCAACACACAGTAACTGGGTGCCTTGTGGGCCCAGGCTAGACCAGCAGGGGATCTCGGAGTAGCAGTGGGCCCCAGAGGGAAGATGCATAGGCCCACTGGCATGTGGATACGTCCTGGCGCCTACCAACCACTGCCCAGCTGCCTTGCAAATTAACCTTGGTAGATATAAGGCTACGGGAGTAAATCGCGAACGAAAAATCTGCGGCAATGCCCCGCCTTAGGCAAACATGCTCAGAGAGCTCCAACAAGACCCCAACAGCGGTATAGGCGGAAGAGGTAACCAAAATGGGATCTCAACGACTATACCAGCGCACGAAGGCAATGCATGATGAACAATTTACTAAGGCGCAACCCAACTAACTGGGCTAACGGCAGGTCCGTTGCAACTCTCCATCTCCCCAGTCGTTGCAACACTTGCATAACTGGATCATATAAAGGGAGGGCCAAGATGTTTGTTGTTGTTGTTGTGGTTGCAGTCTGCGCTCCTGCCTCACCACATAAATCAACTCACACACAGCCATCATCCAGCGCACCATACTCCTCATCAAACCCTTATACCCCCAAAGTCCTATGGTGACGGGGACAGGCAGAGATGACTGCTGGGAGTCTCTAGTCACAACTCTGCACATGGGCCGCACATATAAGGTGGTCGTTTATGCAATGGGATCTAGGCAGCAGTGCAATCCAGTCCTGTCTGTGCGAATGAGCAGCCCTTATGAGGAGTCACTCTGCTCACCCCACATGGGGAGGGGGCTAGAAAAGGTGCCCTAAACATAGCCTGCCTGAAAAATACAACCTGACTGGCCGACCGCACTCAGTAAGGTCATTCTTATGCTGTCGAAAACTCAATTATAATCTCAGTTAAAAAACAAACAAACTATACAACCTCCTATGGTCACTGCATGGAATGTCAGGACCCTTCTGAATATTGACACAAATGAGCATCCTGAAAGAAGAACCGCCCTGTGGCAAAAGAGCTGGTAAGGTATAACATCAACATAGCCATTAGTGAGTCTCGACTCCCAGACAGGGGTCGACTCACAGAACGGGGGTCTGGCTATACCTTCTTCTGGAAGGGTAAGCCTACTGCAGAGAGAATACGCATCAGTTTCGGACCTAAACTGATAGATTCCGAAAGAAGAACGCGGTGGCCCAGCAAGAACTTCACAAACTAAAGAACGACTGTTTTAAAATAAAGCATGGCAATAGCAAAAACTTGCAAATCAACACAATATGAGCGAATTTTTCAATTCCATTAAAACATTTTATGGGCCAATCACTCATGGCACAGACCCCATCTACTCACCCGACGGTATCTCCCTAATTAAAGATGAAGAAGGCATCCGTCAGCGCTGAAAAGAGCACTACCATTCACTCCACAACCGAAACACCGAAGTGGATGTTCTTACTACCCATCATGTCCCTCAGCATCCAGAGTTGACCCATCTCAGCTATCCTCCATCCCTGGACGAGGTAGCTACTGCCATCAAACAGATGAAGAAAAAAAAGTCTCAGGTCCTGATGGAATACCAGACGAGGTGTATAAAGCAGGATGACCTCTACTTACTAGCCGTCTCCGCTCTCTCCTGGAGAATATATGGGAAATGGAGGAAACCCCCCCAAGCTCTTAAAGATGCCTCCATCATCAATATTTATAAGAACAAAGGAGACCGGTTAGACTATGGCAACTACCACGGGATCTCGATGCTGTCCGTAGGTGGCAAATTATCGCCCGAGTCCTCCTAAACAGATTTCTTTCTGAGGCGGAAAACTTCCTCCCAGAATCTCAATGTGGCTTTAGACCATCATGTGGCACCACTGACATGATCTTTGGTGCCCACTAGATACATGAAAAGTGCAGAGAACAGTGTCGTGACCTGTACATGGCCTTCATCGACCTAACAAAGGACTTCGATTCAGTCAACAGGGAATCCCTGTGGCTGACCCTCAGCCGTTTTGGCTGCCCACCAAATTTCATCACTATCTTGAGGCAACTCCACGATTGCATAAACTGCAGTGTCCTGCACAATGGCACCCAGTCTGAGTTCTTTCTCATACAAACGAGGATAAAACAAGAATGTGTACTGGCCCCAACTCTCTTTTCCATTTTCTTAGCTGCCTTCCTCACTCGTGCCAGTGCCAATTTAGCCGGCAGGGTAGACATCGAGTATCAAATGAAGGGAGGTCTTTTCAACATAAGACGAGTCCAGGCTGAAACAAAAGTGTCGGCAGCTTCCTTTACTGAACTTCAGTATGCAGACGACATCACCCTTGTCGCCCACACTGAACGCAACCTACAGGAAATGCTGAACACCTACACAGATGCATACGCACACTTCTGCTTTGAGGTGAATGTACGTAAGACTCAAATTCTCTTTCAACCTGTTCCTGTTTCAGCCACACATCCACCATCCATCCAGCTTAACGGTATTACCCTCTCTAATGTTACCCACTTTCGGTATCTCGGTTCCCACCTGTCCACCACTGAGGACATCGATGAAGAGATTCAACATCAGATCAGATGATTTTTCAAGCCTTTGTCAAACTCCGTACTTGTGTCTTCAGCTGTAGGGAGCTGAAATTATCTACAAAGTTATACGTATATATAGCAGTGGTCCTGCCCACCCTGCTATATGGCAGCGAGATATGGGTCACATACAGGAGGCACCTCAAGGCACTTGGAAACTTTCAACAATGTAGATTACGTTCCATCCTCTGATTTCGCTGGGAAGACAAGATAAATGATGCCAGTATTCTCACTGATACCAAATGTAGGAGCATCGAGGCTCCCATTATCCATAAACAACTACGCTGGATTGGCCATGTTATCCACATGGACGACAGTGGACTGCCAAAGCAGTTACTTTACAGTGACTTGCTGAAAAGGAACAAGGATAATCTTAAGACACTCCTGAAAAAAGTGCCAAATCAACTCTCTCACCTGGGAGACGATTACTCGACACCGTAACTTTTGGAGAAGCACCACACAAGAAGGTGTCAATACTTTCTAGTTAGCCCGACTGCTTACCGAGGCAGAGAAGCTCCAACGTCGGAAAGACGATGCCGCCACCTCTCCCACACTAGATGGAGCACTCCACATGTGCAACATATGTGAACGACTCTGCTGGTCCCGAATCGTTCTCTTTATTCACCTTAAACTTCACCAACGAGGGTTACATTCTTAGTAATTCATATCATTGTATCATAGCTGGATGATCTTCATACTCGACTCAGAGTGACAGCAAAGTAGTAGTAATAGAAGTAGTAGTAGTAGTAGTGTGTGTGTGTGTGTGTGCGTATGTGTGTGTGTGTGTGTGTGTGTGTGAGTGTGTTCGCTCACAGGGTGGTGAAATGCAAACTGTGTGGCAGCATTATGTCAGTGTTAAGGTGCAAGCACTGCTTGCTCCCTCTCGCTTTCAGCTGCCACCACTCTCTAGCCCTCTTAGCGAATAGGGAAGCAATTTACAATAGTCTTCCCCTGCCAGTACACTGCCTCTTCACCATCAAGATTCCTGCTGTGCCTCCTCATGGCAACACACGACAATTGGGTGCCTCGTGGGCCCAGGTTAGACCAGTAGGAGCGGTGCATAGACCCACTGGCAAGTGGACACGTTCTGGCACTTACCAACCATTGTCCCGCTGCCTTGTGGATTAACCATGATAGGTACAAGGCTACGGGAGTAAACCCCAAGCAAAAAATCTGCAGTGGAGCCCTCTATCCGGCAGATATGCTTACAGAGCTCCAACGAGACCCCAATGGCGGTGAAGGCGGAAGAGGTGGCCACCATGGGAGCCCAAGGACTTCACCGGCGAAAGAAGGCAATGCTTGATGGACAAGCTACTGAGGCGAAACCCAACAAACTGGGCTATCGGCAGTCCATTACAACTCTCCCTCTTCCCAGTCGTTGCACCACTTGTACCACTGGATCAGGAAAAAGGAGAGCCAAGATGTGTGCTTGCAGCCTGCGCTCCTGCTTCACCACATAAATCAAAACATGTGCAGCCATCATCCAGCTCATCTTACAACTCATCATCATCAAAACCTCTATCCCCACAATAGGCCTATGGCGACAGACGAGTAGCAGAGATGACGGCCGGGAGTCTCTAGTCACAACTGTGCATCATGGGCGTCACAGATAAGATGGTCGTTTATGCACTGGGATCTAGGCAGCAGTACAATCCGGTACTGTCTGTGCGACTGAGCAACCATTTTGAGGAGCCAATCTGCTCACCCCACACGGGGAGGGGGACTAGAAAAGGTGCCCTAAATATAGCCTGCCTAAAAAAAACAACCTGACTGGGCAACCGCATTAAGTAAAGTCATCCTTGTGCGTTCGAAAACTGAATTATAATCTCAGATCAAAACAAAAACAAATTATACACCTCTTATGGTTGCTGCATGGAATGTCAGGACCCTTTAGGATACTGGGATCAATGAGCGCCTCATGACGCAACGAGTCCCAAAGAATCACTCACGTCATGCCTTTTTCATTAGTGCTTACGCCCCAACACCGGATGCAGAGGATGACATCAAGGAGGCCATTTACACCGACCTAGACAGAGTGCTAACCTCTATCCCCAGAGAAGACAAGGATGTGCTCCTTGGTGACTTCAATGCCAGAATTGGCAGAGATGTTGACATTTGGAAGGGAACCATAGGGATAAATGGATGAGGCAAGTGTAATCCCAACGTCCTACTCCTCCTCAGCAAGTGTGCTGCACACAACCTCACTATCATCAATACACTGTTTAGGCAGGCCGACAAGGCCAAGGGTTCGTGACAACACCCACGATCCAAACACTGGCATCTCATTGACTACATCATTGTCAGAGAAAGAGATCGCCGAGATGTCCTCATCACCCTTGTCATGCGTGGCTTGGACTAGTGCGACACTAATCATTGGTTCGTCAGAGCCAAGCTCTCACTTCATGTTGCCCCAAAACGGCGAAGGCAGCAAGCCTCCAGAAAAGGTTTTAACACTAAGCGTCTAGAGGGTCCAGCGGTAGCACATGCTTGCAAACAGCAGCTCGAACATGGGATAATAAGCAACCCAACAGCAAACAACGCAAATCCCAGTGCCGAATGGGATATTCTCGACACTGTCATGACAAAAACCTGCAGAGAGACCCTCGGCCAGATCGAAAGAATTAACCAGGACTGGTTTGATGAAAATGACCAGGCAATCAATGTACTCATCAATGATGAATATGATGCTTTAACTAACTGGCAGAACAACCCTAAGCCTCGAACCAAAGTTGATACCTTCCGCAAGAAGAATGAGACAGCCCAACGGGAACTCCGCAATCCCAGCATAGGTATATGAAGCAGGAGGACCTCTGCTTACCAGCCGTCTCCACTCTCTCCTGGAGAATATATGGGAAAAGGAGGAAATCCCCCAAGTTCTTAAAGATGCCTCCATTATCAATATTTATAAGAAGAAAGGGGGAGACCTGTCAGACTGTGGCAACTATTGCAGGATCTCTTTGCTGTCAGTAGGTGGCAAGATTATCGCCAGAGTCCTTCGAAACAGACTTATTCCTGAAGCAGAAAACTTCCTCCCAGAATCTCAATGTGGCTTTAGACCAACACGTGGAACCACTTCAATGATCATTGCTGCCCGTCAGATACAGAAAAAGTGCAGAGAAAAGCTTCATGATCTGTACATGGCTTTCATCGACCTAACCAAGGCCTTCGACTCGGTCAACAAAAAAGCCCTCTGGTGGATCCTCAGCCGTTTCGGCTGTCCACCAAAATCCATTGCCTTTGTGAGACAACTCCACGATAGAATAAACGACAGTTTCCTACACAATGGCACCCAGTCTGAGTTCTTCCCTATCCAAACGGGAGTTAAACATGGGAGGGTACTGGCACCAACTCTCTTTTCTATTTTCTTGGCTGCCTTCCTTACTCGTGCCAGCGCAACTTTAGCTGGCGGGGTGGACATCCGGTACCGAATGAAGTGTTATTTTCAACATAAGACGACTCCAGGCAAGAACAAAGGTGTCGGCAGCTTCCATTACTGAACGCTCACATTGAACGCGACCTACAAGAGATCCTGAACACCTGCACAGATGCGTATGCACACTTAGGCCTTGAGGTGAATGTACGTAAAACTCAGATTCTCTTTCAGCCTGCCCCTGGTTCAGCCACACCTCCACCATCCATCCAGCTTAGCAGTACTACCCTCACTAATGTTACCCACTTTCGGTATCTCGGCTCCCACCTGTTCACCACCGCGGATATCGATGTAGACATTCAGCATCGGATCAGATATGCACCCCAAGACTTTAGCAGACTCCGAAACCGTGTCTTCAGCTATAGGAAGCTGAAATTATCTACAAAGTTACACGTATATCGAGCAGTGGTCCTCCCCACCCTGCTATATAGCAGCGAGACATGGGTCACATGCAGGAGGCCCCATCAAGGCAATTGAAAACTTTCACCAACGTAGTCTACGTTCCAAACTCCGTGTTCGCTGGGAAGACACGAAAACAAATGCCAGTGTTCTTTCTGACACCAACTTTAGGAGCATTGAGGCTATCATTTTCCACGAACAACTAGCTGGACTGGCCATGTTACCAGCATAGACGATAGCAGACTTCCAAAGCAGCTACTTTACAGTAACCTAACGAATAGTAAACGTAATGCTGGTGGGCAACTGAAGAGGTATAAGGATAGTCTTAAGACAAACCTAAAAAAGTGCCAAATCGACCCCCTCAAATGGGAGACGATTACTCCATACCGTAACGCTTGGAGGAGCACCATACAGGAAGGTGTCAATACTTTCGAGTTAGGCTGACTGTATAGCGAGCCAGGCAAGCGCCAACGCCGGAAAGACGCTGCCGCCGCCCCTCCCCCATTAGATGTAGACCCGACATATGCAGCTTCTGTGATCGACCCTACCAGTCTTGTATCAGCCTCTTTAGTCACCTCAAAACTCACTAACCTAGGAGACATCCTTAATAACTCTATTATTGTATCATAGCTCGGTGATCGTCATACTCGATTCCGAGTAACAGCAAAGTTGTAGTAGTAGTAGTAGTAGTGTGTGTGTGTGTGTGTGTGTGTGAATAAAATATTCTTTTGCAAATCTTCGTTCCGATGGAATACTTCCAAGCAGTAAGTTTTTCCTTGGCACGAACGTTAACACCTGGAAGACTTGTTATTTTTGTATTTGATAAGCATAATAATCTTCATGAAGTGAAAGAGAATACAGACTCCAGCCTCTTCTTGCTCCTGAAGTGCTCCAGGCTTGGTCGACTGTCTTCCAACCACAGCCCTTATTTATAACCTTAAAGTCTTAACTCTGCCATAAATATAAGCAGTTGCTTTCTTCAAATTTATGTACAGTATCAGCTGCCCTAATATATACCTTCTTATCACAACCCAGCCGATGCCCCCTTCCACCTTCATCCTCACTATCCCCCCAACCTCATTTTCACCCCCTTGTTTCGCAATCCTCTTCGCCCTTCTACCCTTACCCTCGACCTTCCATCCCCCTTCAATCTCATTCTTCTTCTTTTCAATCCTCATCCTTATCATCCCGTTACCCCGTCACCCTCTTTCCTTTCACTCGCCCCCCTACTTCTTAAATCTTCCCCGGCGGTCAGCGACGGTCATCATCATGAGTCTCCCTTGCCTCAACATAACCACTCTAGATCACCCTCCTCCCACTCTCCCTCCGCCTTGTGACCCCAAGCACATAAATTTCTCAGAGATTCCCGTGTTCTATCCTCCTCTTGAGACTCGTAAAACATGCGCGTATACTTTAATACGAAGTTCACTGGGTGAGACAGACCCTCTCTCCTAGTAAAGCATGTTTTTTACTTAACTTTACTTGTTACTCATTCGTAAACATTTCTTCCTCCGTTCACTTTATCATCTCTGGTGTCTCTCTAGTCAAGTGATCTACTGCAGATATAGATTATTCTCTCTCTCTCTCTCTCTCTGCTCAGATAAATTCTGAATTCTGACTTGGGGTACAAAATCATTTTAACTCTTACATTGGTTGCTGGTTACATAGTTCTTTCATAGGCTACATTTGTCTTCTGTCTCTCTTCCTGGATACAATAACATATCTTGGGATATATAATTTTCTGTTTGGATATACAATTCTCTCTTTGCCTACATGATTCTCCTTTTGGATACAAACTGTTCCCTTCGGATCTGTAGTCCTCAGTTGTTTGCTTACCAAAGAGTAGTCGTTGTAAAGAGATATAAGTTGGCAAAATCAAACAAGGGAGTCAGAATTAATAAATATCAATGTCGTTAATTTAGAACAGGTCAACTCTGGTTCATACCACCATGTTCAGCTATCAGAGACCGTGTGATCACCCAATATGTAACTCACACTTCCCTTTCCTTACCACTTGCCCTAACGACATGATATGTGTTACAACGAAGTCGCTCCTCACCTATATATCTTCGACACTGAAAACTCCTCAACTGATTTCTTCTGTTTTAATTGGTATATAATGTTTTTGGTCATCTGTTTGTACTGTACTTGCCTTTAGTATTATATTCTGAGTTTTTACGATCAGTATTTATATGTATTAACATTCATTTTTAAAACGTTTTGAATGTACACTTAAGTAATATATCCAATTATGTGATTTTTTTTTTATAAAATATATATTTATGAAAGTTTTTATGTTAATTTAACTTGCCTCTAGTATTTTATGTCAAATGATGATAAGAAGAGTTGTCAAACTGTAGTCAATTAATAAGTTACTACAGTATTCATTTATCCGCACGTTGGTGGGTCAACTGCATCGAATTGAATTGACTTGAATTGAAACATTTCATTTAGCCAGAAAAATACAGATACAGAGTGGATAATAATAACAATATTAACATGGCTGAGCCAGTTGACAACCTGAGCTCTCTTTGAGGCACCAGATATATACTATACATTTATCTCAAGGAAGTATTATGTAACATTTAGTATCATCTGGAATAGTACAATAGCATGGTGGTAATAAGTACATCTCATAATGTTACCACGGTTATCACTTTAATATTTATTTATTTAATTATCTATTATTTTTATTGTTTATATATTCATGTATTTTTTATTTAAACATACATATACATATATAACCATATATATATATATATATATATATATATATATATATATATATATATATATATATATATATATATATATATATATATATATATATATATATATATATATATATATATATATATATATATATGTATATATATATGCTGATAACCACAAGGAAAGAAGAAAACACGAAGTTCCCAAGCGCTTTCGTGTAATTCACATCTTCAGGGGTGAGTACAGACTAAGGAGAAGTACAAAACAAGGTATATATATACAGAGGAGGGTGAGATCAGGTCCACAATGGTCAGGTATTAGGTAATGACCCTACTAATCTTTAAAAAGCACCGCAGTGGTCGGTAGTCAGGTCAGAGTGTAAGTTGACCCAACCTTCTCACCTGGTTACAAATCTTCTTAATTACAAAATTGTCCAGTTTGTACATACCATTACTCAAATTCATGTTGACTGCTTCGGTATGTTTAATGAGACTAGATTCTATACTGTTCCTTCTGTCAATTGAATTACAAGGTAATATTGAGGAGGCATTATCCCAGTCAATGCAATGCTTATTATCCCTCAAATGAACAAACAGAGCATTGGATTCCTGGCATGTCTTAACACTATATTTATGTTGTTTAAGTCTAGTTACAAGATCTTTACCTGTCTGGCCTAAGTAAAACATATTACATTCCTTGCAAGGAGCCTGACCCAGCTTGGAGAAGGTCGTGCCCGCAAGTGCTCCCGTTAGTGACCAAGGAAAATGGCCGCCTTGGATCGCTGTGTCTTGGGGGAAGAGGAGGGGAGTTTGGGGAAAGACGACCGCCTTGCCACTCTGTTAAGGCAGCTGGGGCAGTTGAGGAGTGAGGTTGACACTCTAAAGGGGGAAAGTGAAGCCCTCAGGACTGAAATCCTTCAGGTAGGTGTCCTGCCTAGCAGGACACCTGCGAAGGAGGAACAGGCATGGAGAGTGGTTGTCAGCAAGGGGACTAGGGTCAGGCTCAGGAAAGCTGACCAGGGTGTGAAGTGCAGTAACCCCTACCAGGTGCTGCAGGAAGCTGGCGAGGAAGAGAAGAGGCAGGACGGTATGGAGCAAGGAGAGGAAATGGCAGTTGTACAAACCCTTGCCCACAGGTAAGGTCGTGGTAGGTGGGGACAGCCAGGTGAGGTTTTTAGATAGGACGTTTTGTGCGAGAGAAAGGAAACGTAGGACTAGGGTGTGTTTTCCTGGGGCTGGAATAAGGCATGTAGCTGAGAGGTTAGACAGGGTTTTGTCAGGGGAGGGTACCAATCCAGTAGTGTGTCTTAATGTGGGAGGAAATGACATAGGAAAGGTTAGGAGTGAGGAACTTTTCAAGAGGTATAGGGAGGCGCTGGGGAAGATTAAAGACAGGGGAGGGATCCCGATAGTATGTGGTGTCTTGCCTAGAAGAGGGGTTGGTCGTAAATGGCTATCCAGGGCAATTGCTATAAATTGCGAACTGGAAAAACATTGTGCAAACATTGATAGCTGGCAACGATTCTATGGCAACGACTACCTGTACAGTCGCGACGGAGTACACTTGTCTTGTGAGGGGTTAAAGACGTTGTC